TGGGATTAGCATCCTAATCACAATACCTGCCCACAACTTGACACAAAAGACAAGCAGCTCAGGAGAAGGACGGACCACAGGGAGTTCTTGGAGGAGGAAACAAGAGATGCTGAGGAGGGAAATCAGGAATTTGGGACAAGCAGTTCTGAGCAGGGTGGTTCAAAAAAATCTGTGGCAGGAGAAAAATGGAATGCCCTCAAGGCCTTGGAGCCAAATGATGCACACTGGGGTTAAGAGGGACAGCAAACTGCAAAGGCAAGTGTTTAGAGGGCCACGGGGGACAGAGAGTTCTCCAGGGTGTCAGCAGGGGGACAAGAAAAGGGAGCCTGACTTTTGGCAAGTGCTCTGGGCTCTAAAGAGGTGGCTGTGTTCAGGAGCACAGCCCCTCAAAGAGCTGGGACAGAAATGGCACGGACTTCCTGAAAGGAAGACTGGGTGAGTTATGGTATGGCACTGCAGGCTGGGGAAGAAATGGAGCTTGAGGAGGAGCCGCTCTTCTGCCCTGGGAGGCAGTGAGCACTGTACTAGTATGTGTGTGTGTGTGGGGGGGGGGGGGGTCCTCAGAGGTATGGCAGGTGGCTAGGAAGTAGCAGGAGGAGTCCCAAGAAGGCCTCACTATCCCCTGAGAACTGCCAGATCTCCAGGGTACCTGTGCAAGGCCAAGTAGTAGAAGGCAGGAGGGGGCCTGGTCTGCCAGGTGAGATGGATGTACCTGCCTTCACTGAGCTCTTACCTGCCAGGACTTTGTTCCTGAGAGGGGATGGGCAGCAGTTGGTAATGAGAATGTCACCTGGCAATGAGAAATCAGACCATTTTAGGTTTCTGTGCCAAGCTTTTATTTGTACCGACAATCAAGATTGAGTTGCAACTGGGTCCCTAAGAGAGTGGCAGCCAAGACCATCCCACCCCCACCTGCAATGTGGCCAGGCCACTCTTCCTGAGCCCACCAACCTGGCATGGAATTGACCTTGCAACCACCACCCTTGCAGGTCCCCATCATTAGACCACCCTCCTCACCTTTACTGTTCTGCTCCAAAAAGGAAGATCATATACCCTATTCTCTGTAGTGCCATCACTGTCTCCCACCAGGAGCCATAGAGTATCTCTAGCTCAAGGACAAGTTCTGTTTCCTCAAATAAGAGGATTTGGGAGGAACACCACAAGCTGGCCAGTCGAGATAACCTCCTTCATGTCTTGAAACTCCCACACGAGGGTCTGGGTTCCTCAGTGACAGTAGCTGGGAACCATTTTGGGGATGAGGAGTTAAGGAGTTAAGCATGGATGGAGCTGGACCTGGTGGTCATTAAAGCTCCTTGCAGCCCTGAAGCCTAAGTCTTATGAAGGTAACCTCTGTCCCTCACCTCATGGCCAGCATTCATGTCACCGCCACCTTCTGCAAGAAGAGAGTAGGTGCAGTTCACTGGAAAAGAAAGGCCTCTGTTGAGTCAACATTTATATGCAATTACTGTGGCCAGGGGACCCAGTTTTCAGAAACCAGTAAGACACAAGCCTTGCCTTCAAAGAACTCAGAGACACTGAGGGGCTCTCAGTGGCAAGAGTTACAACCCTGGGAGGTAAGAGCCCAGTGAAGGAAGGTATGTGGGAAGGTACAGGGCGCTACCAGAACTGGGACACAAGAGTACCTGATGCTTGGTTGCGGGCTGAAGAAGGGATGCTAAAGTTGCACCTGGAAGGACAGGAGTTTGCCAGGACAGGAGGAGGCAGGTGCTCCAGGCCTCAGGAAGCACAGGCACCAAAAGCAGATTCCTGATAGAAGGCCTGCAGATGCCAAGGATGCAGGGATTCCGCAGCGCTGTGACCCAGAGAGCGATGAGGGAAAGCTGGGACCACTGGAAGGCCCTCCTATGACCCCCAGGTGTTTGTCCTTAAACAATAAAGGACTCCACAGGGTTTCCTGACTGGGGTTGATGAGAACAGATGTGCAGTGTGCTGGCACCTTGGATGACCCACTGGAGAGGGAAAGACAGGGTTGTTCAGGCCAGTGGGGGGACTTAGGTAATAGCGCTGGCCCCAGACCATGAAGCCTGACCCCAGGGAGAAGCAGCGGGGACAAGAAAGTGCAGCACTTTTTCTGATTAGGCATTTTAGAGGCAGGGACACGGGCCTTGGTCAAAGTAAAACTGAGGAAGCAGGTGGGTCAGTGGACTGGAGGAGTCAAGTGTGGTGGCACTGAGAGGGTTAAGCTTGTAACTGAGAGGTAGAAGAGAAGAAATAGCCAATAGGGAAGGTGGCTTTGTTTGAGACATGTCAGCTCTGAGAGACAGCAAGAAACACAGTGGGGATTTTTATTCTCACCTGCAACAAAAAATGCCAATGTGAAGACCTTAGCTCAAGTCATTACCAGTGGCTGGGTTGGCTGGTTAGGGGTGTGGATGATCTTGCAGAAAGCAGAGCTGGCCTGGCCATTCAGACTTCAGGTGCAGGACTCAGTCAAGTTGTCCTGTCTGGAGCCTCCATATCCCCTGGGGTCCATTCTCAGGGTCCCCTTAGGTCATTCAGGCCCTGAGCTGCCACTTTGGCGCATGCCTACTGGTGCAGGGCAGACTGGGGGCAGGTGTCATGGTAATCAAAAGGGCACTGTCTGGCCTTGGCCATTGAGTGGGAAGCCACTTGCCACATGGTTTCCACTCTCCCCGTGGCTCCCCCCCTCCACCTCAGAAGCTAATCCTCTTCTCCGCACTGTCTGTCTCCCTGGGCTGTGGGGAGGAGGAGCCCCCCCTGCTCTAAAGCCAGATATGTGCAGTTGAGCCCTAAACCTCCACAGCAATCCACCCCATCTGCCCTGTTCCAACCTGATCCACCTCCATCCTGCAGCTCCAACCCCTGCTTTCTGATAGTTCTACCCCAGCTACCTGTAGCTCTTTCCCACAGATCGTCTTCCCTCTGTTCTGCCTCTGCCACAGTTCCTTCCCATCTACTCCCAGAGCTATTTCCCACTGGTCTGCCCCTTCTGTCCCCCAGCTCTCCCCATTACCTGCCTCCTCCTCCACCACCTGTGAGCTCTGCCTCTCCAGCTCCCCTCCCCTCTCCCCAAAGATCCTCTCCAGTTTTCTCACAGTTCAGTTCTCAGTTCCGCATCCTCCACCACCTCCCAGGTTAATCCTCCTCCAGCTTTTCCACAGTTTCCCCTATCCCAGACAACAGATCCTCCCCAGCTTTCTCAGAGCTCAGCCCTCAGCTCCGCCTCCGGGCTTTCCCATAGATCCTCCTCCACCAGCTCTTCTACAGCTCCACCAACCCCATTCCACAGCTCCTCCCCAGCTTCTTCACAATTCCAGCCCCAGCTACTCCCCCTGGCTTTCTTTCTTCAATGGTCGCACCCAGATACTCCTCAGGCAGCACCGCCTTGGCTCCAAGCCCCGCCCCTCTGCTTGCTTAGCCCTGCCCACTGTCAGGAGGACCCAATCTACCCTGATCATCTTGTGAGCCTGTTGCCAGTGAGCCAACAATGTCTCCTAGCAACTGTGGTCTGCCTGCGTGATTAAGTCTCTACCCAACTGCTTACCTGCCTGACAGCTAAGTGCCTGCAGAATCCTGGCACGTGTGCTGCTACGTCAGGGAGTGCTGCTGTGTCCTGGCCTGCTATTTAAGGATTTATGTGTCTATGTGACTTTGTAAGCCAGTAAAAAAGGTTTTTTTTTTGTTTGTTTTTGGTTTTTTGTCTCAGCCAGTGCAGGGTAGCTCACCAACGCCAGTGGGTGTCAACAGTCACCTGTTAGCAGTCCTGGAGCAGCTGAGAGGCAGCCAGGATGCTGGCCTGCTGCTCTGTGGTGTCAGAGTCCCAGAATCCTCTCCACATCAGGTCCTGGGAGGGCTCTTCTCCGCACTGTCTGTCTCCCTGGGCTGTGGGGAGGAGGAGGACTGTCCTGTGTGGTGGCCTCAGCTGGGTCAACCTAGAGCTTAGCCACCTCCGTGGCCAGTGGGGCCAGGAGACCTGAGTCTCCAGAAGGGAGTGGGGATGCTCAGTTCAGCTGAGGCCTGCTGGGCCCTCCAAAAGATAGTGCTCCAGGGTTGTGGTTTGCTGTGGAGATGGAAGCACTCCTGTCCCAACTCAGGCCACATTTTTCTATGTCCTCCTCTGGCTACTTTCACTTGCCCACCATCCCTGTGTGTGTGTGTGTGTGTGTGTGTGTGTGTGTGTGTATGGGCCTCTGCCTCCTCTGCTCACAGGAATGACTGTAATGGTCCACACTCACAGGTCTGTCCTCCCTGCTTCCTGCTTGGCCCTTAGGCTGTCACCACCTCAGCCAGACCCAAGGCTGTGTGTTGCTTAGCTCATTGCCCATGACAACTCTCCCAGTGGGCCTACCCAGGATTATTTTGAGGGGAATGAGAGTGTACGGTCCACCAGTCATTCCCATTTGATGATGTGAGGGCAGGGGGAGTTTTCTCCTCCTGGAAACGGGGCTCTGCTGGGCTGTAAGAACATGAGCCACTTACAGGATATGGTTTTCTGTGCAGCTGGCTGGGCCATCATGTGGTCCCTGAACAGATAGGGCAGGAGAGAGCCACTGCTATGATTAGCAGAACCAAACCCTGAGTAAGGTGCCACATCTGTTTCCCACCAGTTGAAACCTCCTTGGTCCTGGTGGTTTCCAATTCCTGCTGAGTAGAAGACTGTTTTGGTATGTTAACCAACATTGCTGTTTTGTCCCTAATGATCTTGACTCATTATTCCTCTTGTCCTCATGCAGGTGAAGCAGCAAAGGCAAGTGGAAGAGTGTGTCTTCCTCAGGCAACAAAGCAGGTACTCTGCATCATGAGGCAGGAGGGCAGCCCCCTTCGTGCCTCTACAGGGGCCTCAGCTCTCCCTAGGGATGCCACCCATGCAGATCAGATCTCCTTGTGATTTTGTGGCTTTGATGAGAAAAGGGCCCAAAACTCCATGGAGGAAATGAGGCATAAACCCCAGTAGAATAAATACAAATGGCCAGGCCACTGGGGAACATCCAGCCTCTGCCATAAATAATCCAAACCCAATGAATACAGAGACCCTTTTGTTACCTGTCAAGTGGGCAAACTGTACCATCGCCACCCACATTGCTCACTGGGCCTGGGAAAACCCCCTCTGGCGGGAGCTGCTGCTGGAGAGGCTGGGGTGGAACCCCAGGCAGATTCAGGCCCTGCTCTGGGAAGGGAGAAGTATGGCTGAGGAGTGATCCTAGGCAAGATGTGACACCCTGAGGGCTGCTCACACCCCTCCAAGAGTACCCCCAGGACCTTGCTCAGGAGTTTGGGGCTTATTTTCTTTTGAACCTGTGGTGGTGGGGCTGTGGCTTCTGTAAGCAGCACACCTTCAAAGAGGCAGCAAGGGGCCCAGGCTGGGGTTCCGTGGGCTGAGTTCCTATAACCTGGGTGAATCCTTCTGTCCACACTGGGTCTCAGTTTCCATTGGTGATCTGAGGGACAGGGACAGGTCCAAGTCTGCATGTGCTGTCACCTGTGTGCACACATGTGTGTTTATGCATGTACACGTGTGTATTCGTGACAGAGTATGGGAGGCTACACAGCACACAGAGAATGTCAGGTGGCCTCCAGACTCAGGCTGTCTGCTGATCTCACACAGCTGCCCCACCTCCACTGCCCATGGCATCCTGGGATCATTAGCTCATCCCTCAGTGGTCGAGGTCCCACACCAGCTCCTTTCACCCGGTGAAGGGTTTGGGAGCTGAATGCCGGTGGGTTCCCCACAGCAGTCAGGGCTCCTCTGACCTGTATGTGCTGCCCACAGCAGTAAGGCTGGGACCTGCCCGTTAGTGGACCAGGCTCTGTCCTCTTCTTTTCCATCTCTCCTCTGGCCTCACTCAGAATTCCCTGAACAGAGTTTGACACATTGGATGTGCTCAGTCAGAGGGACCCAGCTCACTCTGTGTCCCTTTTGTGTAATCAGCTTACCTTCTAGTGGGCACAACTTTGAAGAACTTGTTTTCGCTCACAGGAAGCCTTTGGTTTATGGAAAGAAAAACATCTCAGTGCTTCTCTCATGGTGCACGGGGCTGCTTGACATTGGGGCAACTCTGCAGTGCCCAGAAAACATGGCTCCTGGAACAGCAGGCTGTACTGACCAACCTGATGCAGAAGTACCCGACTGCACTTTCAAACCCAGGTGGTTACTGGACCACATACCCAGGGAAGGCCAGTTTTCCATAAGAAAACATTCAGACTATTACGACCCTTCCACAACCTCAGCTCCTCTTTTCATGAACTGAAGCCATCCCCTCTGACCAAGGCCCTGTCCTTCCTGAGTGCCCTGAGACAAATGTGGGGAGGAACCACCTCTGCAGACCCATGCTAGGACTTCCCAGGGCTGACAGCAGCACAGACTGGGTTCAGGGCACCCATTGTCTAGTGTGTGGCATCTTCCTTCCTGCCCTAGCTACCCATGTTCACTCGTAAAGTGCCTGGGACCTTTCCCTTCTGCTGAACTGAGAATGACTACTGCAGGCCATGTCCACCATCTCTCTGAGACCTCCAAGGTGAACTTGAGGACATACCACATTGACTATCATGCCTGAGTGACCCAGTTGTGCCAGCAGAAGCTATGTCAGCTGGTACCTGTTTTTGCTGGGGTGGGAGGTACCATCCTCCTGCCTCAAGGCCCACACTTTGAATACCAGCAGTGCCTGGGACACCTCCCATTGTTGTCCTGAATCCACCACCTTCAGGACAATGCGCTCACCTCCCTTTGTCACTCCTCAGGCAGAAGTCTGGAAGCAACCCAAATCCACAGGCTTAGCATGAGGCTTCCAGGTGCTGCTGGCAGGAACAGACACACTGAGGACACTTATGACACTGGCCAAACCTCAGACATAATTCCAGGTGAGCCCTAACTCAAGTCCTTACCTGGTATCCTGGGAGAGCCCTGCAGCCCTTCTTTTCCCTCCTGGAGTTGACCCCTCAGCCCTCAGGGGGTGGAGTCCCCTTTTCTTCTCGAAGGATCCTCACGGTGACTCCTGGCTGGGGCTGTAATCTCCTCTCTGTCAACCTGAGATGCCCAAGTCAGGAAGAAAGCATGTGGTCATCGACCAGTGGCCTCCCAGGGTTCACAGTAAGTGTAACATGGGGTATCTCTGTTGTGGGGTCCCAGAGCCCCTCAGTCTTCCCTTTGCATGTTCACCTTGACTGGGCAAGACCCCGATCCTCCCCTCTGCCGCATATGTTGTTCCCCCTGAATTCCCTGGGCGGACATCAGGTCTGGGCTTCTGTGGTTCCTCTCTGCATGGCCACCCACCACAGGGCCTCCCAAGACCTTCAGCTAGGCAGACTTCTGTGGATTGCCCTCTGCTTAGCGTTGCTGGATTCCCTCAGTCCTCCTTTGGGGCCCTGCTTGACCCTTACCTCTGCCCACCTGAGACTCAGCTCCTTACACCATGCCCCAGAGCCTGTTAGACCTGGATGCAGAACTCAGGAAAAGCACCTTGACTCTGGGCAGTGCCTCTGCATCCCGTCTGTGGACCCAAGGCCCTACACTTCTTATCAGGTTTCCACTCTCACTCAGACCTGAATGCTGAAGTCAGAAGACAAAACATGTGGTCGCCCTCCCTGGGGCCTTCCAAGGCTGGGAGCAAGGTGGGGTTCTGTGTGGTCTCTACGTTGGAAGTCTGGGTCCCCTCAGTTCTGAAACAGGGTCCTCACATTGGCCCTGGAAGATCTTAGGTCCTTCCTCTGCTGACCTGGGTCTTGTTTGTTATACGAAACCCCACAGTCCCTCAGACTGATTTGAAGGCATCAAATGCCACTTGAGTCTGGGCAGTACCTCTGCCCTCCCCTCTATGGACCTGAGTTCCCGCACCTTATACCAAGTCCTGAGTCTCACTCAGTCCTGGATACAGAAGTCAGGAAAGTCTGCACTTTGTCTTTACCAGGGAGCAATCCCAAGGCTGATGGCAGGGTAGGGCTTTATGGGGTCCCCTAGTTTTGGGGCCCAGGGTGCCCCCAGTCATCCTGTGCTCCTTACAGTGAATCCCAGCGTATTTCAGACCTGCATGCCAAAGTCAGAAGACAAATGAAGGGGTCATCTGACATGGGGTCTCCCATGGCTTGTAGCAGGGGAGGGCTTTTATGGGGTCCCCTACATTGTGTAGTCCAGGCTCCCCTCTGTTCTCCTTCAGCAGACCTGTAGCTCTGCTCCTTTCACCGAACCCCAGAGTCTCTCATACCTGATGCAGAGGTCATCCCACTGGTCCTTCCTGCACTGATGATTCTGGTTTCCAGTGTCCCCCAATCTTCTTCAGGGTTTTCAACTCTTCATCAGCAGGACCTGGGGTCCCCCGGTTGCTGCCTGAAGCCCTGCTCCTTCTACAAAACCCAAGTGTACGTCAGACTAAATGCAGAACTCACAAAGGTCAATGTGTGATGTCACCCCTCCCCAACCCGGGAGGCCTGCCCATGGACACTGTTCTGGGGTCCAGGGCCCCCAATCTCCCTCCAGGTCCCCACACTGACTCCGGGCAGGTCCCGGACACCCTCTGCCGACCTGACACTCGGCCATGACACGGAGCCCCCGCGTGTCTCCACCCGGAATAGGCAGAAGTCAGTCCTCGCCGCTGGTGGTCACCCCGCACCTTGGGACTCCCGGGACTGAATGCTCTGGGGCCCGGAGTCACTTTGTCTCCCCCCAGGGACAGACGGCCCTCACCATGAGGCCTGCAGGCCCTGGCCCTCCCTCTGTGAACCGGAGCCCGGACCCCACACGGAGGCCTCAACCCCGTCACCCGAAGGGCGGTCCGTGGGCCTCAGTGCCCAGGGCTCCCGGCAGGGGCTGAACTAGACCCCGGGGACCTCCGTGGGGTCCTCACCCGGGTTCCAGGCAGAGTCTGGGCCCTGCTGACCTGAGAGCGCTCCCCTCAGTTGTCCCCTCCGCAGGCCCGAAGCCGGCTTCTCAAGATGGCGCTCAGCTCCCTGGATTCTCAGGTGGATGTCACCGTGAGGCCTACAGGCCCTGGCCCTCCTTCTGTGAACCGGAGCGCGGACCCCACACGGAGCCCTCAACCCCGACACCCAAAAGGCGGTCCGTGGGCCTCACTGCCCAGGGCTCCCGGCAGGGACTGAACTAGACCCCAGGGCCCTTCGTGGGGTCCTCACCTGGGTTCCAGGCAGAGACTGGGCCCCGCCGACATGAGAGTGCTCCCCTCAGCTTGTCCCCTCCTCAGGCCCGAAGCCGGCTTCTCAAGATGGCGCTCAGCTCCCCGGATTCTCAAGTGGATGTCAGTGACGTCACTTCCGGAAACCACTGCTGGGGTCGCCCAGGATGCTGACAGGGGCGGGGCTCTGCACCCAGGGTGCCCAGTGGCACCGACTGGTCCCCACCTGGGCTGGACGGCTGGGACCCCACCCTGTGCTGATCTGGGTCTGTGCCCCTCAGGCCAAGTGTGGGCCTCCCCCAGCCCCCAAGAGGTGGGGCGGGAGAGCACAGCCTGACCCTCAGCCTGAGGCACCCCATCTGACGGGAGCCCCAGAGCTGGGTGCAGGGGCGGGCCCTCTGTTGTGGGGCGGGTACAGCCCTCAGTCCTCACTGGGAGGGTCCTCACAACCCTGGCGTAGACAGACCACTGTGGTCACATCGCAGTTCCCACAGGGGGCGCTGCAGAGCCAAGAGCCCTGGGGGGCATCAGAGAAGAAGCTCCCTTTCTCAGTGTCTCTTTACAAGGCAACCTACTTTTGAAACATTTTGTTCTAAAAGAATTGTTTTCTACATGGAAAACGATGAGCAGCAAGAAATGAAGGTGGAAAGGGGGTTCTGCTCTTTTGAAGTTATCTAATGTTTTATAGTCCAGATGACTAATTTTTGTTTTTTCAAACTCTCAGTCGGAGTCAGAAATAAATTTTACATCTTGCCCAGTTTCAGAATTGCATTCATACTCACTCTTACTCTGCCTGATTTACTCTGATTTTTGACACTTTATTTCTAGTCCTGTCTGCATCTTTTATTAAAATTTACTAGAGGCTCAATGCATGAAATTTGGGCAAGGAGCTCAGC